GAAGAAGAAGAAGAAGAAAAAGAAAAAGAAGAAGAAGAAGAAGAAGAAGAAGAAGAAGAAGAAGAAGAAGAAGAAGAAGAAGAAGAAGAAGAAGAAGAAATAGCAGGTGTTGACAGCAGCATTCCAAAGGCAAAAAGAAAACTCTTTTATTTTGCATTCTTTTTTTTCTTGTTTGGCATTTATAAAGGTAGTTAAGCTCAATGCCTTTAGAGGATTTCTTTGTGTTTAAATCCTTTAAGGCTGAAACCTTGCAAAACAAATCCTTCAATAGACAGAAGGTAGTCACACAGGGCACCAAGGACAGTGGCAAAGGGCTGCTGGATAGCAGTAGCGATTTTTAACAGTTACAACGACAGTGATTTCTGCGGCCCTGTAGAGTTCCACAAAGCATCTTTACGTAGAAGATCTTGTCTTACTTCTTTAATAAATGTTATCGCGTAGATTTCACTTCAGCCCCATTTGACAGATGGCCCTGGTGAAGGCTGAGAGGGAATTACCTCACCTCAAGCACCCCTGCCCAAGCACCCCCGCCTCTAAAGTCATTTTGTTGGAGATGACACATTTTTGATACCAACACGTGGACAGCTGCCTTTTGGGGAGTCCACCTCGCAGCTAGGCATCTAGGGGGAGCGCAGGTAAGACGTGAGGGCAGAACTGCCGAGAGGGGGACACATTCGTAGACTTACTTGGCAGGAGCAGTTTCCGTTCCCTTCTATGCCATCTGCGCAGCTGCCTCGGCCGCCGCAGGGTGACCGCGCTCCTCCCGGGCACTCTGGGGATCAGATGGTGGGATTCGTTCACCCAGGACTGCACACGGCTTTCTGCGAGGATGCTCGGGCCGGGTGCTGGGCACTCTGGGCTGGCTAATGTGCAACTTGCCAGTGGCAGGAGCTGCCTGGAGCCCCCGAGGGTGGTGCGCAAGGTGACTACAGGAAGCGGATGCGTAAGCAGGTGGGTCTCAGCGCCTTCAGGGGCTGCATTAGGAAGCATCCCTCCAGCATTTCCTGAGCACTTGCTAGGCATATTGCAATGGTCTGGTTAGGTAATGCCGCTGCTACCCTCTGCTGTCAGCCAGAAGTTCCATAGCTTGCCTTGAATCTTGCAGTATGTGAACTGCACAGTTGGGAAGTTAGTTCAGCCCTAAAACATGAACTAAATCCAGGCTTCTTGGTGTGCTAGAGAAGGCCTCGAAGGAACCCAGAGCTATTTGTACTGCTGGGTCAGTCCAAGGAGTCATTTAAGCTGAGGCTTTGAAGGTACAGTAGGAGCTGGTTATGCCTTATAGGGAAAAACATTTCTGGAAGAGGGAATGGAAGATACCATCTTTGAGCCACAGAGGATCATGACTCTTCGGGATGGGAACGTGGGAGTGGCCACGTGTGGATGGGCACCCAGAACTGAAGTGCCACGAGGAAAGTGAATTAGTTCCATAAAGAAGCTGGCTCCAAACGAGCATGGACTTTGCACATCTGAGCTTTAACCAACATTTCCTAGAAGATCCCACAGCCACTCAACAGCCCCGGAATAGTGATTGCCTGTCCAGCGCTCCACTTTGCACTGGGCAAAGAAATAAGGAGCAAGAAAGCCAGACTGCAAGAAAGCCAGACTGACACGGCCCAAGTCAAGCAGAAAAATGTAAGCAATGACCCAAGACAGACACTGAGATTGTGATGATGCCATAAGATGAAAACGCTCGGGCCTCGGTCTGCACCAGTGTGCTCAGCTGGCGCAGGCTGAGGGCTAGTTGGGGTGAGTGCGCGGGTGCAGGAAGCAATCCGGGCAGCGCACACCACGCTGAAAGCATGCAGTGGGCATGGGGTGTCTGTGTGTGTGATGCAGCGTCGGGCATCCCCACATTCGGGTTTGCAAGCGCATGCTGCAGGGTTCCAGGTACTGATGAAGGCTGTGTGTGTTCATGATGCACAGCGACGCCCTGAAGTTCCATGCTGCTGTGACCCCCACTTTCTGGCTTGGTGAAGAGGCACAGAGTGGCTAAAGGACCTGCCTGAAGTTACGCAGCTGGCCAGGCTAAGGAGAGACTCGCTGCCCCTCCTTGCTGGAAGCGACTACCTAGAGGCTCCCTCCCCTCCTGCTCGCCTGGAAAGAGACCTTTGCCCAGAGCTTTCTTGAGCCACAGGCCTGCTCTGCCATGTTTCCCCAAGCTGTGTGAAGTCATTGTACATAGAAAAGGAAGAGGCAGCTGCTGGGGTCAGTTCTGGGCGCTGCTGCAGAATCCCTTAGCCCGGGGTTTCTGCATAACGATCTGCTGGAGATTCGATGTCTGGGGGAGGCCGGGCTCCTGGCTCGTGGACGGAGCCTCTGCACCGCCTCATCACACAGTGGCAACACTGCAGGTGTGCGCGGGGCCTCCTTTACTCCTGGGAGCACTGATTCTACTCACAGGCTCTTTCCTAGGGTCCCACCCTAGGGCAGCGTCACGTGGTGAGCGCAGGTCAACATATGAATTTCGGGGGACCCCATAGTTCACAGGCTGGAGGTTTGGCTTCCATAGGGTGGTGTTGGGAGTGGGAGGGACATTTGTGGGGGGCTCCTGGGACAGCCATGGCTCTACTGGGGGTGAGTGCGCAGAAGGGACTGAGGTATTGCTGGTGCAATTCTGTTGCGAGGGAGTTGTTCTAAAAGTCAGAGCCTGGACCCCAGTCTCAGAGTGGGACATGTTCTCCCCACTCCCGATTCTGTTCTGATGTCAGACAGCCCCAACGGTGCTCACCAGAGCTAAGCGATGTAAACATCATGCTCTTGAACCCCCAAGGCTCGAGCTACATGGACTGTTTTTCTTTATAATGTTAGCCTGCCTCAAGTATTTCCTTACAGTGGCAGAAAACAGATGAATATAGAGGAGATCTCAAACATTCAGACTGCAGCTGCAGTTCTAAGCAAAAGAGACTTCTGAGCCCAGAGGAGGATGGTTCTCTGCAAGAGATGCTGCTGCCTCACTTGATAAGCTCTTTCTTTGAAAGATCACGTGACACTTGCAGGTACTGTGCAGGGGAGAGCTAAGCTGTCATCCGTAGATGACTTCCTCTTGGCTCCTTCTGCTTCTCCCTGGCACTCAGAATGTTAGCAGCCTGCAGTGTGCAGCTGTACACCTCGAGTCTGTGGTCTGTGGTAGAGCTAGGCTTCACCCTGGCAGGAGCTCTGCAGACTCCTGTCCTCCCACGCTGAGCAGCGGCCACTCCCAGGGTCACAGTGCAGAGGACAGGGATGCCAGTGAAGTGAGGGGATGAGAACATACTAGCACACACCTGGGGGCTGAAGTCACTTTAAAAATAAGAGCTTGCCTGGCAAATACAAGGACCTGGGTTTGATCCCCTGGCACTGCTGCGATGTTGGCCCTGCCCCTGGGTGTGCTGACACAGCCACCAAAATCAGTAATCCCAGTGCTGCGGAGGCTGAGACAGGAAGATCATTATGAATCCAGGCTGCACAGTGAGACCCTGCACCAAACACATAAATTAAAAAAAAAACAGCAGCCTGACTTGGGCTGTTCTCCCGCAAGGCAAGTGGTGCCGTGGGTGCGCGGATGTCACAGAAGCAGCAAGGACGCTGCACTCAGCGCACGCAGCCCAGCCCTGCGCTAGCTCTGTCTCTTTGCAGAATCTAGGCCTGGCTCTGGAATGCATCTTACGTGTGTGCCGGGCAGTGCTGTCTTCCTAGCAGGCTGCGGTTAGAACTGCAAGTGTTCGGTGCCTAAGAAATCACAGTGAGCGTGATCCCAGGAGGGTACTCTCCTTCTGGGATCTGTTGGGCTGATTAATTTATATACTTCTAGGTTGGTACTACAGCAGCTAACGACACTCATGAAACAATTCATCAAGAACTTTCTCGAACCAAACCCTAAGAAAGGTTCTTGGTACATATGGTGTGCTGCATACTTAAATTGTTAAAAAAATTATTATGGTAAAAGACACATTGTCATTAATTGGCCTCCAAATACCTCCCCTTGCCTTGAACATACTTGTCCTGCTGCCCTTGCCACTTTCTCAAGCAGCTGTGGGAGTCCTCGTTTGAGAGTCTTCAAGAGGTGTGATAAAAAATCCAGCGAACGCCATTGTTGAGTACCGTCCAAGGGAAGGCAGGCTGCGGAGGGCCCCACAGAACGGCCTCACCCACCGCATTCACTGAATGTGGCACTGTACGGCTTTTGGCTCTTCCCCAAGGTGAAAACGATCGTGGAAGGGTCAGTCCAAGGGATACGGGACACCAAGGAGCCCTACAACTAAAGACACTCAGAAAGCTGGACTTCCAAGGTTGCTGCAGAAAGTGGAAAGAACGTTGGGATGAGACTTTGTCGAAATCAGAGGGGAGGGCTTTAGGGTTGCCGCAGTGTGTCCCCCACTGCAATACATTTTAAAAAGTTCGGCATTTACCCTTTTTTTAAAAAAAAATCATAATGCCTATTTTTGAAGCATACCTGTTTTAGTATCAGGGCGAAAACATGTGCCTGTCCCTATTTCCATGGTCCTACTGGGTGGGGGTCGTGGATCGACAGATAATCGGTTCAGCCTGGTTCACAGACAGGGAAAGGGGCTGTGTGGGGAAGAGACTGAGTTCTCATCACCTCCTACTCGAGGTTTCCAACATTTACCAGAAAGGGGCTTGTCCTGCGTGGACTAAGCGATTTTCCTCTGTCTTCAGCAGGCGACCGCAGCCACCACAGAGCAAGGGTCTTGCTCAGGACTTCTGTCTTTGCCCAGTGAAGAGCAGCAGGAAGTGAGGATGGAGAGGTCCGGAAGCTCTTCTGACCATTGGGTAAGTGCTGTGGCGCTCAGAGGGTGCTAAGAAAACATTTCCATTAAGCCCTCCTTGTCGCCCAGTTCCTTCTCGTTAGTGACAGTGTCTGGGAACAGCTTGCATTGCGCAGGATGAGAAGGGTGGGGAACCCTGGCCCAGTTCCTGCACCTGTCCCAGGGCTGGATGTGCGAGGTGTCCCTGGGTGACACCCAGCTTTGTCGCTTGCTCAGGGAGCGCCAAGCCTCCTGCACCCTGAGATGTGCACTGTGGCTGCCTGGCAGAGGTGCCCTCCGCGGACTTTGCTGTTGGTGGCATCAGTACCGTGTTGGAGCCTCTCACTCCCACGACGGAACCAGCCCCTCCCACCCTTCACGTCTTCCCTCCAGCCCCAGCCGCCCACTCCCCACTTCCGAGCTCCCCATCCACACTTCCAGCCCCTCCCCTTAGCAGGCCTGGTTGACCCTTCCTGGGGTGCCTCTCCCACTCTGCCCATTCCTTCTACAGTGCATGCAGCAGGAAGCAAACGGTGCAGAGGGGCGGATGGAGAAGACAGCCCTGCTGAAGCTGCAGGCTGATCCCAGAAACTGGGGACCCCCTCCCCGCCAGCCCCCAGAGTGTGTGTGTCAGGAAACCCCGGGGAGTTACTAAGCGTTTTTGCGGGAATCACTTAAGCACTCTCAAAACACGTCACTAGGCCCTAAGTCTGGTCACTTGGGAAGGGGACAGCCACAGGGCAGGTGCTCAGGACGAGCCAGGGCAGTGCACCACTAGATCTGCAAAGCTGATAGCGTTAAAGCAGCGGGTGTCACTTAGTACCAGGGAAGTGGCATGGGCCGGAGGACTTTGCCCATCACAGAGAGAAAGATGAGTGTGCTGTCCCATGTGGTATGTTTATACGATGGAGTACTACTCAGCTATAAAGAATGATAAACTCGAAACCTTTATATTTAAGTGGATGCCACTTGAGGATATACTCATAAGTGAAATAAACCAGACCCACATGTGTAAATATCATAT